GTGCTCATACTTTCCATTTCTACTTTTGTACAACAAAAGTTGATGATGAAAAAACCACGTATATACACACTCACACAAATACATGGTAAACGGGTCCTATCCAATCATTCATCTTAGCACGAACCAATCATGCTTTTTCCTTCCCTATATTTTTCCCTCCCACCCAAAAAAAAAAAAAGAAAAGAAAAGAAAATCCTCTAGAGTCCTCCATATAATTGGGGAGTGGACGACAACATATTTAGGTATGTGCTTACAGCACCAGATATGCCTGTACAATGACAAAACAACCAACAGTAGGTGTCGACGTATTATTGTGCAGCCATGTATATATAAGCATATTGAGCGTAATCCTAGGTGATCAATGGCGAAGGAGCGTGCATCCTTAAATCCTCCTCTGCATTTCTCCTCCAACCTTTCTTCTATCTTAGGCTGTAATATCATTTCATGTCATTTTTCTCAACCCATATTTGATTCCAGGTTCGTTTCTTTGTCTTGATGTTTTGCATTTCTTCTTGTCTTTATAACCTTGAACTTTGCTAAAACCCCACGTAGATTTTGGTACTTCAACGTCCAAATCATTCTTTTTTAACTTCGTTTCTGTCACCTTTTTTTTTGAAGCATCTGAGCTCTCACTAATCATAAGAAGCATGAAGCTCATATGCTTATCATCATCATTTGAAGTAATTTTTTTTCTTGTTTTATTTGGTTTAAAGATCATTGATTTTTCTGGGTTTTTTTGGGGTTGTTTCTGGTTGGTTCCATGTAGGATACGTGTTGATTGGATTTGCATGAAAGTAGAATTGCGGCTGGAATGTTAACTCTTTTGTTCTTATTCACTGTTGTTCAATATTTTAATTTGGTTTATTATAAGTTCTTTTGGATTATAATCATCCCTGCCTTCCTAATTGTGGCCACATAAATCTATTGGATTGGCATTTTGCAGATTAGGTTGTTAGTTAAATATTGAAGAATTTTGTTTGGACGCAAATTATGAGTGGACAAATATTAAATGACGTCGGCTATGTCTGTTAGGCCCTACTGCATCTCTCACTCGATTTATTAATTTCGATTTCAATTTCACCCAATTCATTATGTTGTGTCATCCTTGCTGGAGAATGAAAGAGAAATTGAAATTGAAAAATTGATGTTTGAATAAACAAATTAAGGTTGTAAAAGGCTATATATGCAGCCCTCCAGAACACAGATTTCACCAGGTTTTTGCCAATAAGTGCAAAAGAAAACAGTAGAAAGTTACAAACACTAAACCCAGGTGCAGACAGGACTGGTAAATTTCATGGCTGTTTCCTTAACTGAGCACATTCTCAATCAGCAGGAAAGAGAATAAGAAAAATACAAAATGAACCAGCAAGATGATGGCTGCATATACATATGCACCCTTTGAGAAATGTTATGAAGTCGTAGAATCCTTTATATATATTTTGTTTTTGTTTCTTGGGGTTGATGTATCAAATTGGCATTTTTCTTTACTAATTTTGCAGGTGGCTTACAGGATCTTCCTTCTTTTCTACTAGAGGTGTACCGCCTTTATCAGTCAGCCGTATATTTAGCAGCTGACTGAAAGGCCAGCCAAGAAAAGAGCCAGAACCCATCTCAGTTGTTGTACATTCTTTGATTTCGGAGACTTTTGTCAAGTAAAATAAACAAAGAGATGGGCTTCTGGACTTTGCTTGAGGTGGCTTCCATGCCAATCATCCAGGTGCTCCTCATAAGTGTATTGGGAGCTGTCATGGCAACTGAACATCTAAATCTTCTGCCTGCTGATGCTCGAAAATCATTAAACAAGGTAATGCTGACTTACATTGTTTGTGTTCCTTTACGGGTTCATTTTCTTTTGTTACGGTCATTCACAAAAAATGAGATTTGGTGGTAAAGTTTTATAATGGACCATTGCAGATTGTGTTTATGGTGTTTACTCCCTCACTGATGTTTGCAAGTTTGGCCAAGACTGTCACCCTTGATGACATTATCTCATGGTATGATTCATTCTTTACTGTACATCATTATGCATTCACTTATCAATCAATTTACGTGGTGTAAATAAACTTGAAGAAAGCTCCTAGGATAAAAAGGGGAATGACTTACATGTGGTCAATAAATGCTGACCTTTCTAAGATCCATTTTACCATAAAATTTCATAATTATGTTTGTACAGGTGGTTTATGCCTGTCAATATTGGCTTGACCTTTCTCTTTGGAGGAATACTTGGGTGGATTGCTGTCAAACTAGTGAAACCAAGGCCCCATTTAGAGGGTCTTGTCATTGCTACATGTTCATCAGGTAACTGTATTTCCAATTTGTCAGCCTTATAATTTCTTGTGTTAGGCTTCTCAATGTCTCCAGCTTCTAGAATATGACAGTAAAATAATATACAGGAAACTTGGGAAACCTTCTGCTGATAATTGTTCCAGCAATCTGTAAAGAGGATGGCAGCCCATTTGGCGATCATAAGACTTGCTCTACTATTGGACTCTCATACGCCTCCTTCTCTATGGCGGTAAGATCATCTCTTGGGCACTGAACTATGTGATAAATCATGTATCACAGATTCTCAGACGCAAAGTATTAACCGGAAAGAATAATGTCTCTGGGCCTGAATTTCCACCAAGACTTCATTTCACAGGAAATTAGGAAATAGTCATATTTTCGATTCACATTATTGGTGGCATTGAATAAAAAATTATGAATGCTCTTCGTCTGAGTCCTTGTTTATTACTGATTTTTGTAGCTTGGTGGTATTTACATATGGACCTACACTTACCATTTAATAAAAAACTCCGCACGCAAATACGAAGCTGAAAAGGCTGCTTGGGTGGAGACCTTAGCAGAACCCAACAAAGATTTGGATGCAGATGAGAAGTCTCAACTTCTTGAGGCCAATGCTCAAGAGCATGTCTCTGTATCTGTAGATTCAACAGAACCTACCGAAGACGATGTGAAAAACCAAAATGTGAGTTCATGTAGAAGAGATGCAAATTAATAGATGTGAGACCCCTGCTCCATGAGCTTTGGTTCTCTGACTACTCTCGTTATAGTTACCCAAAGTTTACATGTTTCCTGTAGGTTGTTTCTCAAGGATCATCTTTCAAGTCAAAACAGCAAAATGCATCGTTCTGGACCAAATTATTTGGAATCGTATACCAGATACTAGAGGAGTTAATGACACCTGCAACACTTGCAGCGGTAGAACTCACAACCCTTTTGTATTAGCATCGTTCTCAATTTTAGTTCTGTCATTCTGAGGCTATATTGCTTAATAACTGTTCCATTGTATTCCAGATAATAGGCTTAATCTTTGGTGCAATTACATGGCTGAGAAATCTCATAATTGGTGACAATGCCCCACTCCATGTCATTCAAGACTCTATCGCATTACTTGGGTATGTAATCGAACTGAATGCTGCTCAGTAATTCCACAGTTTCACTATGATATTAGATGTTAATAACATTGACCCTGAACACTGCTTCTGTTATTGATTCGCGTGTTTTTTTTTTTTGTTTGTTTTGGTTTTCCACAAAACTCACTTTAAATTGGCTGACTTTGTAGCGATGGAACCATACCTTGCATTATTCTTATCCTCGGAGGGAACTTGATACAGGGTGAGAAGATCTTAACCCCGGTTCTAATACAATAAGCAATTTTGTGGGCGTATTCAAAACTCTTCTAACAATTTTTATTAATTGAATAGGCTTACGCAAGGCAAGATTGAAGCCACCGATCATCGTTGCAGTCATCTGCGTGCGATACATACTGCTTCCTGGTATTGGAATTGGTGTAGTTAAAGCAGCCACTCATTTCGGCTTCCTTCCACCAGATCCTCTCTACCATTTTGTGCTGCTGATTCAATATACTCTGCCGCCTGCCATGAATATTGGTATGGAACTCAATCACATTTGCAATATTCTCCAGGATGTTCCCTATTTGACTTTTAAACTACTTGGTCATGTCTTCAGAGCATGCAAAAACTTTCATGACCTGCTCAACAATATCCCTAAAACGATGATTTTAAGCATTCAACAAAAAATTCAAAAATGAAATTTTCTTTACCATGCATTGGTTCATTTGATACTATGCTACTTGGACTCTAATCAAATCAAGAATCAAAATTGATGAAAGTTGTGATATTGATGCAGGCACCATGACACAGCTCGTTGATGTGGCACAAGAGGAATGTTCTGTCCTCCTCCTATGGACTTACCTGTTTGCAGTGTTGTCTCTGACAGTATGGTCGACAATCTTCATGTGGATCTTGGCATAAAAATGTTGCTGCTGCTCATGGCAATGTTGTTGTGATATTGCCCTTTGCAAGTATGGGGTGAAGGGGGATGCCCAAAAGATGATGATGAAAAGGCAATATGGAATCCGTAGCAGTCTAAACGAAGCATACGAGATTGGTTGGATTACAATATGGATTTTTTTTTTCATAATATGGATTTCTGTATTACAATTCTGATTATTGGATTTTTTGTTTCGATTTTTTTTCAATGTAAATAATGGTCCATTAAGTTCATCATGAGAGTCGCCATGCTCTTTTAGCAACGGACAAGCATTTGTATTTGGTTTTCAATTTCATGCATTGAAATTTACACTTGCTTCTTGTCTAGCTCCCTTCTCCAGATGTTTAAAAAGGAACGAAAAAAGAAAAAAGAAAAGAATGTTCAATGTTGGAAGATTTTAAGACTCCACCGTTGAACCCCAAATTGATGGGATCTGAATCTGCGTTCCAATAGCCTACGAAAAGGTCGACTTGAAGCCTTCTTGCTCACCAATTCTCCAGAAGTAAAGATTTGGTCCAAGATTAAAAAACATCTGCACAGCTTATAATAATAGCTCATCTGGGCATGGAGCCCCAGTTAGAAATACTTCTCAGTCAATATTTTGTGAATCTTTTACAAAATCGTTGAACCATCAAGAATTTCAATATAAACCATGATTACATGAAGTATCACAAAAACCTGCCGTTTGAACAACCCAAAAGTCAGAGACAAAAACCTGCCATTAGAACAACCCAAAGTTGGAGAAAGGCACAATACACCATGTAGCTTAAATTCAAATTGAAATGAAGAGATTTGGGGATTACGTGGAACTTGAAACATACATAACACACTCGCAAACTTGGTTTGAAGTTCGATAGAGACGGCAAAATTCAGCAAGACCGCATATGTTTTGATGTTCTTCTAGACGCACATTCTCGCGACATATACTTTTGTTGATGACTATAGCAATGAATCAAGACTTGGCTATACTCATTATTAATTGCTACATTCTCCTGTTGAACTTCCATAAAGAGAAACAAAGATTTGCACACATAAGATGGAAGTTGGGTTGAAAGTAACGCATTTCATCTAAGCACCGGCCTGTCTGGTACTAGTTTTGCTAATAATCCCCTTCCCAAAGTATTCAGCAATCACAGAGAACCCATCTTTCGAATTTCTAACATGCTGGAAGAACTGATCTTGGTTATTGGAATTTTGCTCAAGGCTTCTCTTGGTTTCCAAGACAGATCTGTACTCTGGAGCACACTCAGGGCATTCTCTCTCATTGTCACCAAGGCAGCGCTGGTGAAATGAATGCATACACATGAAATGCACAGCAGGAAGATCAAGTGTAAAAGTGCATGCAGTACACTTGCTAAGCTGAAATATTCTTGCATTTGTCCTGAGATCCTGAATTTCTCTTCTCATTGCTGATGTTTCTTCCTGCAGAATAAGAGAGATGTCATAAAATTTCAATTGCATTAATAACCCAGCAGAAAAGAATTTTATGGTGCAAGAGCATGTCGTAATAAGGTACAAGGCACATGGTGCTTGCAACCCACCCTAAGGAATGAAGAACACTATTTTAGCTTAAAAGAGAACGGTTAGAATTACATAAAAAGAAAGCTACTTCTGTAAATAGTAATGATGGAGCAGACTGGATATGCTTGCAACCCATCCTAAGGAATGAAGAAACTATTTCCAGCTCAAAAGAAAACAATTAGACTTGCATAAACAAGAAAACTATTTCCATGAACAGTAACAATGAAGCAGACTGCACATGCGGCATACTAATTACTTTCTCTGCTTGTAAGGCATACACAGGCAAACTGAATGTCAGGAAAGTAATATCTGACTTCCTTGTGTGTATATATTTTAGCACAAAAACACCTACCCATGAACCTCCTTTCTTCCTCTTCCATCATAGGTTGGGACTTGGGTGATTAACAAAATTTAATGCATGACCAAAAATTGGAAAAGTGGCAAGAGAGGTACACAATTGTGCACTGTTTTTCTAGACTACAAAAGGAGTCCATAAAATGCAAAACCTAGTACTTCCAAAAAGAAAACCTTGTATATGAACACCAACCCCCCCCCCCACCCCCTTTTTTTTCCAAAAAAACAAAACAAAAAAATGAAAAGACCCCAAGTTAACTAACTGCAAAACGTCAAGGCTAACAAACTGAAATTGGTTGACATGGGCAGCCCAAGATTATGTCACATAATCACCAAGAAGCGTTTAGAAGATAATTTAAATGTTTGGCATAGACAACTCTTCTGGTATCCACTTTAACCTCAGCAAATTCTCCATTCTAGAGTCAGTGCACACTATAATGCTTGAGCATAAGCACCAAACCCTGTGTTACCCAAACAGAACCAGAGCCTTGGGCCTTTTTCCTTTCAGTTTCTTTTCATCTTTGGATCTGCTTTGCTGAACCCCACAATCCCCAACTGCAAACCTCAACAAAATTGGCACCACATTTCCCATGTTTCCCCTCCCTTGTCCCAGCACCCTCCTGCTCGTATTCCCAAGGCCACACACTTTACTAAGACTAAGATTTTTATAAAAGCAGTAAATGATTGTTATATTTATGACCTCAACTCATTTACCTTATCTAAAATCAAATAAAACACACTACATAAGTAAAAGTTCAAACGTTTGCACAAAAGCGTGTTCTCACAATCCAACAAATGAGTCTTTCCAGAACTTACAGAATGCTACAACTTAACGTTTGGTTTAGATATCTAAAAACATTAACCCATCTGCAAATTCAGAGAGAGAGAGAGACCAAATTTGCTGCATGTCCAAGCCCTTAGAAGTCATAAAGCGATCTATCCTACTCAAAGGTGATTCAGAACCATTGGCACACACTCAAAAGGATTTTGGTGACAAAAAGAAGCTGTCTAATGTATATACTTTATAAAGAACACAGACCTGGTACTTCTCAATGGCTCTTCGATCTTCTTCAATGAGCTTTGACTCATGGTCCAGCTTGCGAGCTATATAATCCTTGATGACAGAGAGAGTGAGGCATGGATTCCTAGAAAGGGTCTGAAGAACAACAATAGGTGGCAGAATGTCATCCCTCTCAATGTAAGTCAACACTTCTTTTACTTCTTTGGAGCAGTCTTCCCCAAGTTCACCAAAATATTTCAGTACATCTGCCCAAAGAGAAGGATCACCACCTTTCCCCAAATCCCCAAGTCTTTTGCAGCATGCTATTAAACCCTCATGGTCTTGTGCTTGCATGTAACAGGCAATCACCTCTTTATACAGTTTCATCTTCTCGTAAAGAAACAAAAGCCCATTCTTAAAAGCATTCATTTCACACAAAATTATGGCCAGACCAACATCATACAATGGTTGATCTTGTTCTGGTGGCCATGCACCCTTAAGCAAGTTTAGACCCTTTTGAAATCTTTCCCGACGATCTTTTCCCTCACTTACATCTGGTCGATTAATAAATGTTCTCCCATTGGAATGTCCTTTAGAAATCACAGCACCATTTTCACCAGTATTTGTCAGCGAGATGAATGGGAAGTCCAGGTCATGGGATAAATACAATTCCAAGAGCGTGTTATGAATTTCTCCTTGAGCAGGTGAGTCCTTCATTTTACTAGTATATCTTTCAAGAAACTCCATAAGTGACTGGGGATGATGAACAAAGATATTAATAAAATCAACAGGAGATGGCAACATCGACACATATGTGCTACTTGAGGTGCCCCTTTTGGCTGGTTCTTCTTCTGTACATAGCCTCATAAGTATATCAATTGTCTCAGCAGGCTTGTGCTCAATCAGAATTTTACCATATTCTTTAACTGTTACACCAGCTTGACTTGGTTCAAGACTATTGACGTATTGCAATGCTTCACTATACCTCCCCAAGTCTTCAAGCAGAATCTTCAAGTACAATTCATGCTTCCCAGCCCTTTTCGCAACATACATCGCATGCTCATGATAACCTGCAGCTCGGCACACTTTTATAGCAGTCTCTACATCAAATTTAGTTTCCCCACCACCATCATCACTTTTGATGAACAGATTCAACTTCTCGACATCTTTCAGTTTGGTGTAACAGTTTAAGAGCAGAGTGGTGTGATCTTTTGATGCAAGTCCTTTCTCATGTAATTTCTCCAAGTAATTGGTAAGGTTGTGAATTCTTTGTGCATCTAAAAACTTCTGTATAACATACGAGGGTTCGAGATAACCAATTGTGTCTATGTACTGATGCATAGCCTGATCATATTCTTGTTTACAGTATAAATGATCCCCATATTTCCTCAGCACCTCAGCAGTTGCAGCAACATCAGCTTGTTGGGTCTGTACAATATTGATGGCTACTGTATAAAGACTCTTCTTAAAAAGCATATCTAGTTTACTTTCCATGTCCTTCTCACCAATACATAGGGCTGATTTGTCAGCCATAATGAGTATTATATTACCCCATTCACAAAGCATGTGAGAAACTTCTTTGACTACAACACTGTGTGCAACCAACTTATTTTTCAGATCATAAACATTGAAAGAATACTTTCCAGTACTTTGGTCAGCAATAACACACAAAAGATATCCACGAAACCATCCAAGAAATTTTTTCTCTCCCTCAAAAGCCCAACAAGGTCCCCGACCATCAACTTCATAAAAATACACTGCCTCTGGTCGTCCAATGATCAGCTCCGAGCGATCACTCATAGCAACACTAGGGACATCGGATCCAATATTATCGAGCATTTGACCAGTAGGAGGTTGAGTATGCAAGTTAAACAAATGTACTGAACTTGGAGTAACTGCAAATAGCTGAAGAACCTGACCATCCACTCGGAACCCTAGGCCCGTAATGGAAGCATCTGCTTGAAGTTTGAAGCGTTTGATACGCTCACGAGCAATGTCCCCTTGAATGCAATAGATACAACCATTATCCAACCCAATAGCAACAAGCAATATAGGTGGAGCTTCCTCCAATACTAAGAAGGACGTAATCTGCACACATCAATAATAGTTCTTCTAATTATACTCCTTTTGACAAACCAAAACCAACATCATATACATTAAAACACAAAAGTTGTCAAAAGGGGCAAGCTCGAATACTCAATCTATAAAGAGAGCACAGCTTTACAGGACATCAGTATCTACATTTTTCTACTACATTTAGCGGTAAATTCTGTACCCGTTAAGTATATAGGCCAAAAATTTGTCCTTTCATTCGTTAATTAGGACTATCTAAGCAGGGTCTCTTAACCAAATTAACCTATTAAAAATGGATGCAATAAATTGCTAAAAAGCAACATTCACGATCCTAGTATACCTTAGATTCAGGAAACTGGTTAGTAAAAATTCGCAAAATCTGAACACAATCGGGACTGAAGGTGCTGGGACCCTCCTCCTCATGCTGCTGTTGAACCTTATCCAGATCAAAAATCTTCATACACACTGCTGAAAATTGCGGGGACAATTGCTCATCTTCTCCAACAGTCACCAAATAATTCCTTTGCTGATCATGCAGCCAGCAAACGGAACAATCAGTTTGCCAACGAAATGATAATTAAGCTAAGACTTACTGCTAGTATACTAATGCTCCGAAATCTGACAGAAAATTGATCAAATGTGAAGCCACACTACCTTGAGTTGTTGAAGGAAGAGGACCGAAGAAGAATGAGCTCGGAATTGAGAATTGAACTTGAGCCCTCTATCCAGCAACGAAACGGTGCCGTCGTCGCATCCCAGTACAACTTTTCCTCGGCCGCTGGAACAACATTCAATTTTGCCACTGATCTCCTCCGGGATTGTGATTCTTTCCCCATATTTTCCCTCGAAGAACTCGAATTTCCTCCACTGATACATTTTTTGCAACTCACAACGACGACGTATTGAACCCTCAGTTTCTTCTTATATGATTACTCGGTTCTGGATTTATGCATGCGGAAAAGATTGAGGAGACAATCAGAGAGAGAGAGTTTCTGAATTATTATCGGTTTCAGCCTTTCAGGTTGAGGCCGACCAAAACGACAGTGTATTAGGTGTCTGTTCCTTCCACTTTTGGCCTTTTCACATCTTCATTACTACAGTTGACATAGAAAAAGGAAATAACAAAAAAAAAAAGGGTGTAGTATTTACTTGGAATTGATTTTCCAATAATTCTGCCGTTTGGTTTGGGTTTTGGAATCGAGACGGGAATCAGGAAAGTCACTAGTGGAACAGGTGTCATCTCTACATATATGTTCCATTAGATGACTTTTTAATTCTGAAATAAACTTCACTGTGCCAATTTTTGAAATCTAAGCGAATAGATGGAGAATAATGATACGTCAACTTTTACCACTCTTATTCCTAAAAATGGTTCTAAAAATTTGATTGTAATTAATCAAATAACAAGTAGAAATATATTATTTATTATATTTATTTATAAACATACACTTTTGAATGAAATATTCTGAATAATAAGGGACTGATACTTGAAAATATTAATTATGTAGATAAAACGCAAAACCCGTAAACCCCCAATATATGTTTAGTTCTATTCCACATCTGGAGATGAGATCATAAACTCTACAACAAATACGAGCATTTATTATTATAATCATTTTAGAAGCCAAGATATAAATGAGGAATGATACACTGTAACACTTTCTTTCCAAATTAAATGATTCCTAATATAGTCTACCAAGCAATAGAGATAGGTATCATTAATTCTTGATCCCCATATCCGTTTACCAGACATTCACTTGTATTATGCAAGAGTGTCCGATTAAGATTTTGCATCCCTGGAGGACCATCAATTCCAAATATCCCCTCACGGAAAATGTCAGAGCTGGGAAAATCCGGTGTATTGTCTAAAGATGTCGATTAATCTTGTTTCACTTCCAATCATGTCCGTCCTTGGATCTAGTCGATCCGATTTAACAAGATTACCCTTGCACTGCTAGGCAAATTATTTTCACATTGTTAAAGATAACAAGTAAAACAACAAAATGAAGCAAACAACACAGAGGCGTTTGGTGCAACCTAAGGAATCAGAATTCTAAGTGGAATCATTTCTAAAAAATTAGTATGGGTTTTTCATGAGGGTTTTATTCAAATAACTAGTGTCTGGCAAATATTTGTAAGGAATAAGTATTATAATTTAATATCATTTTTTACCTATATTTTGTTCTTTTTTCCCTTTTCAATCGATTCATCCTCTTTTTCTTCTATGTCTAACTCCTTTGTGCTCATCCCACCACCATATCTCTTACTAAAACACTATCCAGCAACCCTTTGTCACCAAATCTCTTATTAGAATGCAAAGAATGTGATGGAACGAAAAATTTTTTCTCCCAAACTCAATGGAATTAGAAATATACAGATTTGAGATTAATTCATCGAAATAATACACTCAACCCATAAAAAAATCCAAGTTGGGTCAGTTAAAGAAAGAGGAGCCCGAGTGCCGGCAGCCTGTTGTGGAAAGAAAAAAATGAAATAAAGGGGGAGAGAGGCGGGATGGGAGAGAGAGGGATTACCAATGAGAAAGAGAGGAGAAAATGAAGGGGTCACCATCGAAGTATAGGGGAAAAGAAAGAGAGGAAAGAGCAGAAGAGAAATGGAGTCATGGACATGGGAGAAATCTATTAGGAACCAAAGGAAGAAAAGATGGAGGGAGAGAGATTTTTTTTTTGGTCGAAACGTTAGGATAATTTCATTTATTATAACGGGAATTTACATGTGCGAGCAAAGGCTCGAAGAGCTGTATATCGAGTGCTCAATAGCATTGAGGAAAATTCCATTCCTCATCCAAAAGAATGCCTAAGGCATAGGAGCTTAATCTTTTACTACTTTCTATAGTTCCTTCACTAACCAAGCAAAAAAAGCACATGCGAAACAACTTCTGCATGTTAGAAATGTCATCAATCAAAGTAGTTATGCTACTATCTGAGGGACTCTGGTACTTTAACTGTCTCAAGAGTTCCTTGTTCTAGGAGTGGATCTTAATCCTACTCCACTGTTGTTCTAGAGCTTTACACAAAACGAACTTGATGGCCACCGCTTCATTTAAGACTTTATTTCTCATGCTTCTCTCTTTGAGCGCCCATTCCGCAATCCTAGTGTTTGGATGCATCCTAGTTGTGACTCCAATCCCAAGTGAGGCTTGTTTGTGCTTTGTAGCCACGTCCAGTATTATGGTACCCTCCTCTTCCTGACCCTGATGTTGTTCTTCATGATTGGAAGTTGTTTCTCTTGTGCTCAATCTGGCTTTAGCATTCTCAATTTCCTCTTGCTCTAGCCATTCTTTGTGAGCCTTGTCAATTGTCCTTGCTGGTAAGCAGTTGTTTTTGTTTTCAAATTCCTTCTTATTTCTTTCTTTCCACACTTGCCACAAAATGTTCGCAGTTAGTCCAATATGTTCCATCTCCCCTGGTCTTTTCCTTGCCTCTGAGATTCTGATCCACCATCGTTTGAAATCTCCTTGTTGGTCTTTAGCACCATCCCATTGTATTGGGCATCCTTCCATATCTCCAGCGTGTATGAGCAGCTTAACAGTAAATGTTCCACTATTTCCTGACCCTCCCCACAGGTTCTGTACACTAGGTCTCCCAGTCTTGTCTTGCTGTAGATTGCTGCTCTTACTGGCAGTGCACCTTTTATGCATTTCCAATGTTAGGAGAATATTAGTATTCTTGTTGTCGCGCCCCACTTTTTGATGGTGTGGTGTGTGAGTATGTGTGAACGTGTGCAAAATGAAAATAAAGGCCATGGGACTTAATAATGCGACGGTTTGGCCATATAAAGTTCAAAAAGGGTTTTTTGTATCAAAAATGGAGTCGCCACTTGGTATAGAGTTAGGGTGTACCAAGTCACCCAAAAAAATGATTTTTTCAAAGGAAAATGTAGAAAACCCTTTTTTAAACGACTCCTAGTCTACGCAAATCAAAGAAAAAGGTTCGGGGGTCACACTTGACGAAGGGGAAGGCAAGGATAAAAATCCAAGGCACCCCTTCGACCTAGCCAAGGCTAGTTGCGTGATTTAGCCCTACCTTTCCTAATTTTTCTACCCAAGGTATGTATCGCATGTTGGATATGACTATATGAATGCAAAAACCCAAACCTAGGGGGACACGGGGGAAATTTCTCTTCAAAGGTTGAGTGGTGCCAATCACATTAATTGCGAAGCCCACTAATGAGCCTTTGGAGAGGTCACACGTAATCCTAAATGACGTAAAAATGAATGGAGTGCATGTCATGTGAAAATGTGAGTTTGTGTGAAGTGAGAAAAGTGATAAAAATAATAGGATGTAAGTGGAGGTGTGCAAATGTATTTACAAGGTAAGGTGAGTAAAGAATGATAATGTGAAAATAACATAAAGTGCATGTGTGCGAGTGATATTATATAAAGTGTAAGTAGTTGAATGAAAACGTGTAAAAGTAGTGTGAAGTGAGAATGTAGAAAAAGAGAGAGAATATAAAGTAAATGTGATCGTGAATGAAAAATGCATGAATCCTATAGGAATGCATCAAGATGGGAACGGGGAGTCCTAACTTTGTGACTTAATTTTCCCTTTGATAGAGGGAATACAAGCGTGCTAAGACTTGAAAAAAGCCACACTCGTCTATATCCCATATTTAAGGGGACTCTCAAGCAAATAAACCCTATAACTAGCATGAAATGCAAAAATCCTAAAATGAAGGGAAAAGGGTTCGAGGGGCATGCAAAATGATAAAACTAAAAAAAATGCATGATATGTAATGAACATGCAAACATGTACTAACGAGGAGAAATCCCTAAGGGTCTAGCGTTGGACTAGCCCATTCTATGAATTCCGACTAGCGTTGGACTAGTGAAAACGTACATTCATCCATCACATTCATTCAGGCTATGGAAAGCGAGTAGACATGCCAAACACTTATAAACACATAGCACATAACATTTAGCATGCTCGACTAGATGCAAGGCCCTAACAAAGCAAATTAACACGTAGCAACTAAGCATGCAAGACACATAAGACGATTAAAGCCCTAACTATTACATTTGCTAGCTAGGCACATGACTTCGATAGGTCTTCATTGAATGCTCCTCCAAGCCCTATCTATTACATTAGGGAGACCCTACTACAATCTAAAAGGGGGAAAAGGAATAAAATAATTAAATCCCTAACTATCACAAGCCAAGAGGTGTACACATACCCCATAATGAATAACGTAAATAAAAGGCAAAAGTAAATGACATAACTAAAAGAAATTAAAGAAAAGACTAGGAAAGCAAAGTAGACATGTATTTCTCACGTAGCACGTTGGTTCACATAGGAGAGACAAAAAAGATAAAAGAAGTTATACCTTCCTTGAAATGGAGCTCTAGTGGGGTAAAGTCACTTATTTATCCTCCAACATAAAAGAAATGGTCAAGGCACCAATTTATTTGGAAAAATTAAAGAAAACATGCAAACACGGGCTCACATGGTCATAAAGCTCTTAAATTCATGCATGAGGTGCAATTTAAACAAAGCATAGTAGTTAATTGAAGCAAACAAGCAATGAAGTTGTAAAATTAAAAACTACCAAGGACCAAATTGAGAAAACATTCAATTGGTTGGGTCATAATGGAACAAGGGGAGACTTGGGGGGTTAGAAGGCAATTTGCTTGGACATTTTTCATGCAAGAGCATGCAACCCACGTAGGAAACATTTTTCTGCAAAAATTTCTGTCATGCTTCATCAACCAAAACCACACTCAAACACACAGCTTGTTTTTCAAGAACAGATTTCAACTCCAAATTCACAACCTTAAACTAATCAGCAAACTACACCATAACCTCCATCCAAACAAAGAGAAAACTTAGAAAAAATCCCATGCGAAGTTCAAAAAAGAAAAAAAATGGGCAAAACATTTGAAGAATGAAACTGCCATAACTTTCCTAGCTCCTACTTCCAAGACCAAATTTCAGATTCAAGCATGTATCATAACCAAAGTTCCTTTGATCTAACATCCAAACTTTGAACCAAACCAACAAGACATGAGTTTGACATCCTTAC